GAGAGGGCATGGTCTGTCAACGGGGGGGGGCGACCATCTATCTATCTATATATATATATATATATATATTAGACACATGTATACATAATCATGTATGTCTGCATGCTTGCATGCATGCATGTGCACTCACGTTTCTTTGCATGCCAGCAGCGTGCGCACACATATAAATCTTCAAGCCCCAATATCTCTATGTCAGTATATCTTTACATCTGTATCTATACCATACATCCAAGCCGATATCTAGATCACATATCCCAATCTACATCCGGATCCACATTTTGATTGTGCTGTTTTCCAGAGGACCGGTCGGCTGGGCCCCCACCGCCAGATCCTGTGTGGATCGTGGGCGACAGGGAGGATTCAGGCGGGGTGGGGAAGTCTTTGAGGTTCAGGTTCTTGTTTCAGATGTCAGGATGAAGGCTCTATGATCGTGGGTTGAGGGTTGATGATCGGGACCAAGGAGGATTCAGGTGGGGTTGGGAAGCGTGTTAGGGTGATCGGATTTAGGATCTCTTGTGAAGATCATGAGGGAGGTTGGTGTGCAGGTGGCTGGGCCCTGTGAGTGGTTGCTTAGTCATGTTGCTTGCAGTGTACCCGGCGCAAAAAGCCCGGCTGCCAAAAGGATCTATAGATCTAGCAATGCCAGTTTAGGAGTTGGGCCTTAGAATTCAGGGCGCAGGATCTAGGACTTAGGATATAGGGCTCGTAGTCGATTTTGACAAGCAGGGCTTGGATCCTGCAGGAATCCCCCATGCTTAAGGTTTGGGTTTTGCGTAGGAGCTGGTAGCGGGTGGTGGGGATTTGAACACTTGAGGCGTCCCTGATGGAAGATTTCCCAACACTTCCGTCGATTACAATCCTTGGCTTCAGCAATGTAATGTCAATCTGCTGAAATAAGCCCGTCTCAGGCTTGGAGAAGGCACGGGAAAGGATCGCCACGCTTCGTACCTCGGCGAGCTTGGGGGTCTGACAGTTGCTTAGATTTTTTGAGTTTGGGGTTTACGGCATGTCAACCAGAGACCTGGATGCGAAATGGTTTAGGACGTGCGGGCGTAAGATACCCTATAATCAGCCACCATCTTTGTTCCTGCAGAAGGTAGACTGGCAAATGTATAAGAAGATACAAGAATCTCCAAGAATTTCGGAGCCACAGCAAAATACGGAACTCTGCAATATCCTTGGAGCTGCCGAAGCCGTCCTGCAGTTCCTGTTTGTGATATCTGAGTCCTTGGTTTAAACCAGGGTTTAGGGTTTAGGGGGCCTAGCAGCTGATTGGCAGAATCTGGGTGGTCCCAAAGTCACGGCGTGGTGAGACTTCTGTTCTCTCGTTGGTAGAAAGCATGGGCAGCCAACGGGTTGGAGTTTGGACATTGATCAGCTCGAAAGACGATGGTAAACTAGGTTTCTAGATTTCGGCCATTGTGTTTGGTTCACTATTGAGTTCATTCAGGACCCGATTGACCGAGTCTGAGGTTGCTGACGATCCAGCAGGTTCTCGATATGGTTTCAGTTTTCCTAGTGCCGAGACTCACCCGCTGCATGCTTCGGACGACTAGTGAGGATGGCAAACAATGGTGAAGAGCAGAGCAAATATCGCCGCGAGGTGCCAAGAAGTACCGCGGGAAGCCTTTCATGCCAATGGGCCAGGGCCGAGGCTGGCGTGTGGACCAAGGTCACTCGGATGTCTTTTGCTTTTTTCGGGCGATTTTGGGGAGTGCCATAGACAAATCTCTATTGCAGCTTAGTCGCCGTCCTTTGACTCGCAGCGAAGAGATCCCGCAAGATTTCGGCATGTGTGCGTTTTGAGGGCAAGGGCTACATAGGCTTTTGGGGATCTACGTAGGGGCTTGGTACTCAAACCTGGGAAGTCGTTCGGAAACACCTGCACTTTTGCTTGTTGGTGTTTGCGGCTCACCAACGATCCTACTGAGTCCTACTGGGTACCCTCCGGCCGTGTCCCGCTCAGGTGTATGCGGGCTTCACTCGGGGTCGTACCAAATTCATTTGCGCAATGGCAACCCTTTTTATTCTAGGCTGCCATCTGCAGGCCTGCAGGTTGAGGTGCTTGAGCCAAGACCGCTAAGATCTCTTCGACCACGTTGATGAGCTGTTTCAGCAGTATGGCGAACCCGCCGCCATCAACGAGGAGGAGCAGCGGATGCATTATTATCTTGTTTTGTGTCAGTCGTATCAAGGTAGTAAGTAGTACGCAGTTGCGCGCAATTAGTTGGCAACCTCAGGTTCTGAGCCTGCATGTTCCATACATCTGTATAGGGCAAAGGGGACGGAAACGGATAATCCGATAACCGCACGCTTGCATGAGGTACGCACATGCAACGGGCATGGATGTGCATATTGTTCAAATCTCGGGTTCGCTCATCAGACAGTCCAGCATGCCGATCTTCTTGATGCCCGTTCTCCGGACTGCACATGTCGCTGCGTCACGGCCACCCTTCCCAGCACATGTGGAACCATGATGTCATACTCTCCTCGTTCCAGGCTATGCGAGTTTGGGGTTGCTGAAACGACGGGGTGCTGTTCGTTTCTGAAAACTTGAGCTTTGGACGAGGGAGATGATCGTCTTGCAGGGAACGCAGATGCTTCGGAATGCCACAGGGGAAACAGGCAGTATATTATGATGTAGTCCACAAATATGGGTATTGAATAGGGTAGTACAATCTCGTAGAGGCCTAATTACTTCCCTCTGATAGAGCCGGCCTTGTCCGCAGACAAGGCCTTAAACCCACGGGCTGCTTCGGAAATGGTCGGGGCGAAGCAGAAGGCTCGGCCGGGCTACAGGTTCTCACTAGCCAGCGGCCAAGCCGGTTTAGGTATGTGCCGGGCTCGACAAGAGGATGCGAGTTGTCTACGGATGTGTTAGAGCCGTGAGAGACAACGGAACTCGGCATTTTCTTGTAAGCCTCTATGCTCGCTCGTATCATCATGAGGCTCACAATTCCGTTGCTGTCGTGACTTGGCCCTTCCCATGTTCGCAACTGGCCTTCGAACCGGTAGCAAGAGGCGACGCATCATCATGAATGCTTTCTTTCAGAAATTGTGATGCAGCTTTCCGACAGCATTCGTATTGCAGATGGTCCTTGCGATGTTGGTCGCTGTTAGCCAGCCTGGATGAGCAGGCACGTCGAGCCTCTGACTCCGCCAGCATCTGAGTGTCAGAGCAGTCTGCCCTGCAGCATGCAGTCTCCACGAGAACGATGCGGTGTATGGGGAGCGTGCCATTGTGCTACCACCTTCCTTTCTGGAATGGCGTCGGCACACCTGTCGCAACCACAGTTGCGTTCCAAGAACACGCCTGTGCTCAGGACAGCGAGAGCGGGCACAGTGACAGTTCTTCTGCGCTGCAGAGGAGGGGCCTCGGGCAAATCTCCCGGTCTGATAAGAGAGGTGTCGGATAGTTTGGCTCAGGGCGTACATGCCATCTTTCGGCTTTCTCATTTCCGCCTATCCCATCCCGCAAATCCTGGCAGTACCTTCAGATGTAATGTCGGAACTCCCACTGTCGGCCTGGCCGAAGCCAACTCCCGAAACCCCGCAGCCGCCGCCTTTCTCAGACAACTCGTCCCCGAAGTGATGCGTGAGTCAACCCTGTCCGTTATTGGCACGTTTGTTTAAGGTGTTCCGCTAAAGCCTTCAAACATGTGCTCCATGCAGACTCACCAGAGTCAGGCAAGCCTATGAGAAGCCTCTACATCCCAAGCCGAAGCCAGGCGGGTGGTCTCCGCTCCGGCAAGCATGCGCCGCGTCCAAGCGCGGCGCATCACGCGCTCGCGCGCCAAGGTGCATTGGGCCCTCAGGACTCAGGGTCCAAGGGCCGTCCACCGTCGGGACTTCCGTTGAGAAATCTTCCTTCCCTTAAGGAGACTTCGATATGCCTGTAAGCAGTTAGTTAAAGGGAGCGGTGTTGACGAAGAAAACGTGCGGTAGGCGTTTGAGACAACCGTCGAAGCCCGCAGAAGAGTTGCAGTATTGCAGATCAATATGCTATATCATGCACAACATATATATATATATATATATATGCATACACAAATGTGTTATATGTCTCTCTCTCTCTATATATGATATACATATTTGTATAAAAACTATGGATATGTGTTATGTCTACTATAACATAGACAAACCTCATCCAGTGTGGCCGTTTTGGTGGACAAGCTTTCAGTCTAAGCTGCAACTCCAGCTTTGACACAAGGCTTCCAGACTCTCCCTTCGATTACGAGGTTTTGGGTGTTGAAGATTTCGATGATGCTCCTCTTCCAGCTTTCGCGTGTGCATACCTGATCCGGGTGGACCGTGCGGGAAAACGCGTCCTTGAATGCCAGTCGCGCGAGCTCTCAGTCTTGCCCCCGTGGATGCGGCAGATGCTGCTCGGCCGTTTTCAGAACCCGTACTGCGTGCTGTCTATCAACTTTTATCCGGCTTGGGATTTCTTTGCCAGGCTCTTCCGGAAGGGGAGGTCTAGCGATTAGGATTCACCCCTTTAAGAGTGAAGCTTTTTGCAACCTATCATGGGAAAATGGCCTTGGCTTGCACAGACTGCCCCGAAGCGTCCTCAAGCCCAGTTGCAGCCTTCCTCAGGCTTGTACAGGATGACATTTGGCAGCAGCTTCCGGCCGGATCCCCGGCATCTGCTGGAAAAGAACAACATGTACAATCAACTTGGACTCTGAGCGAGCCAATGGTCACAGTCTTACTTGCCACTCCTCGTGGTATGTTCATTATTCCTATTGCCGCCGTTCGTGTTCTTTTTGCGGTAAGCAGCCTCATCGCCACAGGAGAGCAGCCCGTGGGATCGGACTTGCTGGCTCCAGCCTGTGCGTGTCAAGGGCCGCACAGCTACTGCAGCCTGGCGAGACAACACGCATGACATGCCATCTTCACATTGTCAAGCTGGTCACGCATTGAACAGTGCTTCTTGGTAAGTAAAGTATGCATGCCTTCATGTAAATTGGTATGCGCATATGCTATCATATGCTCGCTAAAGTCGGCAACGGAGCAACCGCGTGAAGGATGACGGCATTGTTTCCTGCTCCACTGCGTACTGTAGGGAAACGGTGAGCAGCGCCCTTCTGAAAGTTTTTGAGATGCTGCTTTTCAGGACCGTGCCATCACGAACTTTGGCTGCAACCGCTGGGTGTTGGATCTTTCGGTCTTCGGGGTGCTGGTTTCTTTACGTTGTGGCCCGGCTTGTCTCGAAGAGATGTGGAGTTCCTGCTAAGGCTCGTGACTGGACAGGCATTGCAGCTTCATCAGAAGAAGAGCTACCAGCAACCAGCTGAAACAAGCCTTCATCCTTGACTCCCTGTCGTGAAAGCACTCCTGAGAGAAGCATCTCCAGCTACAGTAGCAGTCCGTGGCCCCAGCCTTGTCAAGGCCCGAGCAGGTGGCAAAGGCACTTTCGAGAAAGAGCTCCCGAAGCGACAAGCCACGCCGAGTAGCTGAGGTCAGGGAGGGTTGAGTGTTCCGGCATCAGTGTGGCACCTATAGTGTATATGAGCGTTGCTGCTGTAGGGTTGAGGGCCGCGGTTTCCCATAGTGGGTGGCGCAAAAGTAAACGCTGCTGGGAACGTTGCGGTGTGAGCAGTGGGAGTATTGCGTAGCAACAAGACTGATTCTCAGGAACAGTGGACACGGAAATGAGGGAGGTATCGCTCTTGTTTGCTCTTCTGCTTGAGTGCGGTTGTTCTTGATAGGCTTGGGTCTTTGCAAGCGGCTCCGGGTTTCAATTCAAGTTGCAAGGTTGGCGGCACAAGAGACAAAACGCACTTGGTGTTAGAGAGGTTACATGGTTCAGAGCCCCTTGGCATCACTTCTTCTTGGCCCAGAAGAAGAGCCGTTTCAGATAGACGTGGCGGAACTTCTTGTGGTAGTTTTCAACACTTCAGCCGATGAGCAACTTCGTTCCAGGCTGACTGTCTCGTTGCTCAAGCCATAAGGCGAACGCTCGGGTACGTGAAAGACATTTGCACCAACACCCGAGCAGGGTATGCAGACATATTGCCGGCGACGGCAACTTTGCTCCAAAAGCTCACTGGCAACGTTCCCCTCATCCTTTGGTCGCAGGATCCGGTCCTCTTTGTTCGCAAGGCTTGTGCCTCCATCGTCGAGGATCGGTCACAGAGTTGCACCTGCACATGTAGATGCGGGAGGAGACAGAAACAGAATATGTGCAGACCTCCTGCAGGGTGCAAGGCTCTCAGTTGCTAATGATTTGCCAATGTCTGCTGACCGAAAGGAGTACGCGGAAAAGGCCCCGGAGAATGCCGCACCGACAGTGAAGCCAGAGGCACCCGGCATGAGTTAAAGGATCTTTTCGAGTGAGATCCACCGTTTCAAGTTGGGCTGTACTGTAACTGTGCAAGGACGAGACAGTCGCTGGATGCAGCCATAGGGCACTTCTTATCAGGAGCCTACAAGACCCGGCTCACCTGTGTCGCCGGATACCGAGACAAGACACAACCGTGTGATGGCACCGTGGCTGCAAGTGCTGGCTGCCACGTCGGTATGTGCTACAGCTGCTAGGCTAGGATTTATGGAATCCGGAGGACTCAGCATGACTAGCCAGTCTCGGTCAGTCTCATTGCAGCATGAAGTGGATGGAAGATCTTGTTCTTGTGAAGTGGCGCACCCCTAAACCCCAAAGTCTTTGTGGCACCTGCGGCCCTCAACAGCAGTGTCACGCCGACTCGAACCTACGGATACTGCCCTGGCTAGTCCGAGTTGTGAGAGCGTAAAGCAAAGACTTCGGAGGAGATTCTGGAACGGGACAGCCTCCTTACCCAGGAGAGGCGGAAGTTCGGTGTTGGGACCCAGATTGCTTGTGGGGAGTGGTAGCGGCAATTTCTGTTGTTACAGGTGAGAACCCAAGGATTCGTTCAACGTTTGTTTGGATTTGGGACTAGGCGGCTTGGTTGCATACTTACCAGAGGGTCATGATATCGATGTTAACTACTGTTGCTATGACTACTACAGTCTGCAAAAGGCGTGCTAGTTGGGTGGCAAGACTGCTATGATGTGTGAATGTGGGTATTACCATGTCTGATACTCTCACCCATGTGTTCACGAAGTTCGGAAGCATTGTGCGCTTCACATTTTATGTTTGCAGGGGTGAGCTGACGAGAGCTGACAGGACTTGAGGCAAACTCAGGCGCGCAGACCTCTCCAGGCTTTCTCTAAATTAGGGGCCCCTTTGGGGGGGTCCTTTTTATAAGGCTGCCGTACTATATTATCTGTATTGGGGACCCTCACTGTAGAGAGAGCTACCCAAGTGCTTCAACCGCAGCCGCCGTCTCTCTGCTGTGCATCTGCCCTGCCATGTCCCGCGCGGCGCCATCGCCTCAGAGCCCCCGGCCCTTCAAGCGCCTTCGAGGAGGTGCGAGGAAGGGCCGGATTTTGGCTTCCGGCTTGGGATATATGATGTATACATACATACGTACATATGTATATACATATATATATATATATACATCTATATATGCATATATGCATCTGACACATACACACATGCATACATTCAGATACATATGTATATGTATATATATATATATATATGTATACATCGTGCCGCGAAGAGAGCACTCTCAAACACTTTCAGGCGTTTTGGGCAGACTTGCATAAAAACCCTTTCCTCTTGGACCCGCGGAGCACGACCCGCTCTACGGCATACCCAACAGAACGAACTGGAAACGGAATGGCCAGCAGCAGGGTAGCAATGCTGCTAGCCCAGAATCAGGATCAGACGACCTGCCCGCCATGGATTTGGATGGCAAGACAGGCTCGTGCGTGGAGCCTGTATCACAGCGAGATGGCACTTTCAAGGGAACTATTGACAGTCGAACTTTAGAGGTCATTGGTGGCAGAAGTGATTTTTGGAATGGGCTGGCTAGACATTTTCGCTGCTAGCCTCGTGAAATAATGAAAATCCTGGGTGTCAGGACAGCCCACATTTTACCAACCGTCAGCCGCGAGACTGAGAGCTGTTGGGGCAGGCAGCGTCTTGAATTGGAGCTGGCCAGCAAGGGTGGACGAGCTAGGCCAGGCGGGGGTTACACGTTTCCAGGTTTACCAGCTCCCCTCAAACACTAAAACTCACAATCCCGAGCACCGTGGTAAAAGCAGTGCGAGCTCCGAGAGCCTTCATCTAGTTTAACCAGAGTTTAAGGGAGTCTGAGTGTAGCGAGGGTCCCTCATTTCTAGTGCCAGAAAACAGCGCCTGTCCTTGGCTTGCTGCTCGGCATGAGGGATGGGCTTCAGGCTTTGTGTGGGAAGTGCTTTCGCGAAGAGAACAGAAGTTTGACGATATTTTCTTTTGTTTTGGCTTGAACCACTCCTGCTTGCAGGCCGCGAGCTACCGGACTGCTTGGCTGTGACGGACGCCTGGGCTGTGGCAAATTATCGGGGCTGAACGGGTCTCATTGGCGTTTCTGAGCGGTATTTCGGATTATGCATCTCACGAACACTTTAATTACAAGACCAGGAATGAAGCAACAACGCGCCCATTCGGCCACACTGCTAGGCTACCAGTCAGGTCCAGCCAAAACCCAGCTGTCAAGCTTATTGCGGTGTCAAAGACTGGCCGAGTCGGAGTTTCAGGAAGGCAGAAGCCTCAAGTTGAAGCACCTCGGGAACGGATCGTGACAACCAGCGTGTCCGTTCCAGTATACAGCAGCTCAGGATGACTCACTGACCCTCACCTGGGCGCAGCTCTCCCGGAGGTCGAAGGCACCCCTGCGCCGCAGATGCAGACCTGTTTTTTGTTTTTGAGTTGGAGCTGTCCTGCTACAAGTCTTGGTGTAGCAAACCTCGCTGCCAAGCCACATGTGGAGAATCCCACGCGACTGATCAGCCTCCTCTAAAGGTAGCTCTTCTTACCTGTTTGAAGCAATAAGTTGACTCCGAGGATTCGAGGCCTTAAGATGCCTTGAAGTACTCGGTATGTTCCTTTCTGCCCGTGCGTCTTGTCCTGCAAAGTAGATTGAGGCGGTATGCCTCAGCCTGCAGAGCGGCTAGGCGGCTAGAATTTCAAGCAACTCAAGAAGCACATTGCGCTGAACATGCATCGCTGGTGCCTCCAACCTCCCAGCCTTCAAGGCCCCTGGTGATGTCGCTAAAGGATGCCTGACACCTGCAGGCCGTTGCTGCTGCCCTCCGGTCCTTAGGACTGACTGGGAGCCCCTCCAGCGTCTATCCGCCACCCGTTTGGACAAGCAGAGCACTGAAACAGCAGTGTGCAAGTGTTCTGTGCGTCTTGTGTGGTACATTTGCCCGGCAAGCGAAAAGATGCAGGCACCTTCGTTGCCAGGACTGCTTGAGGAATCGTAGAATTCAAGAATGCCTGAGCATCACGTCTTTGCTCAGGAAACGCTTTGGGGACATCGTTGGCGCGCCGCCCCCGATGGTGGTCATCTCAGCATACGGCCTGGGATGTTCTAAGGCTCGTGATTCGCTGAGACAGCTTCGCAAGGGTCGCGCTGGTAACTGGAGGATCTTGCGCCAGAGTTTCAGTGCTACATGGGGACAGAGGCGATTATCCATCGGAGTGCCTTGCCGGTTCTATCTGTGCAAGCTCTGAGGTCGTTATGCTGCCTCACGCTGCTGAGTCCTTGATCCTCGTCCTCGGCGTGTTGCGCCAGGGCTTCCCTGTATTGCCCTTGAGCATTACCCACGGTAACAGGACCTGCAGAGAACGTGCAAAGTCTCAAGGTTCATTTGTCACTTGTCAAAACATGGGCCCGTCGAGCATTGACTGCTGAGCGTGAGACACTTCAAGGACAGTTCAGAGGCCCGTGGCAATTGCACGCGCAACCCCAAAGCAAAACCTTCGCCTGGAAAGCCCGAGACTGGCAGTACAAACCTCGCAGCAGGACACAGCTGCTCCAGCGATATCAGGACGCTGTGGGGATGGAGTGCAAAGAGGGCCGACTTGGTCAAGAATCGATATCTTCGGGCAATCGCGAGTTAGCGCGAAAAACCGCAGATCCGCTCCTTCCTGGACAATTCTTCTCTCGCATGTTGGGCCAACATGGCTTTTACCGACTCTGCGTCAATCATAGCCACTCCGGGAGAGCTCGGCAAGACGGTGCATACTCTGTGGTTACTTTACTCACTTGGATAGCCTGGCACCCGGCCCTCACGCCTGCTCTAGCGCAGAATGGTTCTAGCTCAGCTGTCTGATCGGCCTTCGATCTCCGCAAGCCCTTAAACCAGTTGGATTCCTATCGGCGCGGAGGAAGCCATGGCCCTCTTCGAGCCCGTGGCAGTGATTACCGACTCACCCTTGGTGTCGGAGCTTCAAGCTCACCGGCCGGCGCTGCAGGCTCTGCGAGTGTGGAGTGTGGGGCCTTTAGAGTTGTTTGGGGCGCGCGGGGTCGTTTACATTCTGGGTTGTTGCTGCGTTGTTGGACAAATTCGATGGCTGCTAGTGGCACGAATCTGAGTTCTTGTCTTTTCACATCGCCGTACAGTTCTCACACCTCGTGAGACCGCCGCCAGCAGTCTTGCCTGGATTGATCCGAGAGTGAGGGTCTTAACACCCCGAAGCCCACACCCCGGGATCTTGAGGCTGGAAGAAGGATCGAGAAGAACAACGCCAAACTCCAAGCCCCACCCTGCGATGCCGGTATCGTCCTAGCCGTGTGAGAGGCCAAACCAAAGCTCATACTTCCGAAACGTTCTTAGGTTGACTAGGAGTCTGGGTCCAGGTTGTTTCAGCACGGGAGCTCCTGGCCTCGGATGACATCGGGGATTACGAGGACCGCACGAAATGGAGCTGTAAAAGCTGCGCATAGAGTCATAGAGCGAGCCGGGAATGATTACATAAAGCACCTCGCCTGCGATTCCAAGTCCGCGCGCAACACAGGATGTGCCAAGCACGACAGAGCATGCGTTGGCCTACATGTTCACGTCTGGCAGCACAGGCCGGCCGCAGGGTCTGTTGCAAGCGATATGCTTCTGTCTTTGCCGGGATCGTGACCCGACCTTCGCAGCATCTGCTTTGCCAGAACACTGTAGGCATGCGGCATGCAGGCTGCTTAGATTCCTGGTTGCACCAGTGAGCTCGACATGCAGATGATTCTCATGATTGCCGGAGCAGATGGCTGATCCTGCTTGCCAGGGCAATCGAAGTGCGTGTGCCTCTCAAACCTCATGGCCTACAGCGAGTCAGAAGGGTGGGGGGCCAAGTCTGACTGGCTGATGGTGTGATATGTGTTAACTTTGCAAGTGGCTTCCGTGTGCAGGAACCTCATCGTATCAGGCCTCACCCACACCCACACCTGTCCTTGCGTGTACCTGCAGGGCGTTTCGGGACATGCAAAATCAGATTAACCGGGTGAACAGCTCTTCATCGGCGGACTGCATGTCCTTTGGGTCCACAGTGGGAATGTTCAAACTAAGCACGGCATTGCACAGTAGCGGGTAACACAGCGTAGCACAATCTGTATGGCATGCCACAGCACACCGTCACATACAAATGCAGGATGTGGCCTAACATGGCTGCATTGCGGGGCCGTGCAGTACACGGTCTGACTGACATAACTATGCGCCACGGTGCCCCAACTCCAGCAGGTCACGATTTGAACGGTGACATACCAAATCCCATCGCAGTTCAGAAGGCATGACAGCAGCAAGCCAGAACGTTGAAGATTATACAAGCCCGCGGTGTGCTAACTAGCATGACAGCTTGTTGCGTTACCGTTCCATGCCTGGGTTCTTTGTAAGGAAATAAGAAAAGTCGAAGATAACCATCATCAAAAAACAGTGTTTTGTACTGTTGGAGCTTCGGCTAAGTTACTGAGCAAGAGCCCGTTGCTAGTTTGTATTCAGGCGGCATTAAATTGCACCCGCCTGCTACTCATCGGCAACTAAATCCCAAGCTCCATGAAATAGCTTACAAGCCAAACGTAGCAATGTCTAGGCTAGTCAGTTAGATCCGGCTGCTTTCGTAATCTCGAAGCATATACCTCCATCTCCAAATGGTTTGTCTCAGAAATCCCGAAACCCTACACCCAAAACAGTAAAACCAAGAATCCCTGCTATCAGCCCTAATTTAGACTGACAATCAAACTGACGACTTGTTCTCCGACCGGATTTGCCCTGCATTCTGTTCGCAAAAGCCTCCGTCCGAATCCCCGGAATCGAAGAGGCGAGCTTCGCAAAAGAATACCAAACAGTTCACCTTGCAAGGTATCCAGAGCTGTTCGGCAAGCTTGGGTACTGTGTTGATCCGCACAAGGCACCCTTTCGGCACAACAGCTGACGTGCTGCCGGGTAGAGCATGGGAGTTTGCACGGCACCATGCGAGTATCGGCGAGTGAAGTTCCGGGATGAGGTTGTGCTCATGGAGGTCTGAGGATGTACGGTAGAAGTTTGCACGTGGCAAGCCCTTCGAGGCAACGTGTAGTTCGTCTTTCACCCAACACCCTACCCTGAGCCTCAGAGGCCCAGCATGCATGGCCGAGCAAGTCCATGTGTTTAACGACAAATCCACGGAACACAAAAAATAAGTCCACAGCCCATGCGAGCAACAAAGATCGTATGAATTGCGCCAAATCAGCCACAGACAGACCTGCCTTTGCATGCCTGAATTTTCGTTGCAGGACCGTTGGCGAATCGACCATGAGATGGGTTGGTGGGGCGCTGCTTACTTCGGGGAAGTCGACGTTGCCCTGGTCCACACCTCAGAGGGCTTCCTCACTGCAGCTGTCGGTACGCAAGGCTGTTTTCTCTGCCTGGCATTGCTTGTCCTTGTCTCGCTTTCCTGCTGTCGTTGTCTCTCCCTCTCTCTCCTATCATCTCCTATCTCTATGTTCCTGTCTCTTTTCAAGATAGGCTCCTTGCTGAGGCCATGCGCATGGGCATCGTCTTCATGAAGCCGACAGATCCGGACTGGGGAGCTCGTGGCGTGACGGTTTCCGGGGCACTTCCCTCACAGTTGCTGGCTGGCTGCAGATATATACAATACAACGTTAGGAAAATAAGCTTTGTGCACTATCACTTTGCCCCCACCTTTTGCTCTTGCATCCTGGTAATGGTAGTGCCGTACATGCCATTTGTGCATCGCAGAGAGACTTGGACCCTCAGGACAGCCCTGGCGTATGCTGTGCACGCCAGGGGCATAGGTGTGCAAGGTTCCGTTAAGAAAAGGGCGACCCTGGTTAGATGCGGTAGTGCCATGCGGCACAGCTTGGGACTGCCTCGACGCCGCAATGGATGTGCACACTACCTTCCCCAGCATAACTTAACAGCATCCGACAGTCTCGCAGCCTCCCTGGCTTTTTACCCTAGGCTCCACTCCAGCGAAGCCCAGACCGATCCTGCTGAGGAGTAATCTCTGGCCTGGCGCGAAGAACTTCCCCTCCTGTCTCCGAGTGATCTTCAGCTGGGCCTCTTGGCCCATGCAGCCTTGGGGCTGTGCTTCAATTTCGCCTTGGAAGGCGGCGCACATAGTTTTCCGCTAGACTCATGAAGGATCACGCACCAAAGTTCGCTTGGGTCGCTCGTAGATGTCATAGATGTATAATTTCCGTGAATATCATGGGTCTTGATCTTATAGGGTGACCTTTTGACAGATGCTCAGGCAGAGCGCTGTGATGTGGAGCTGGGCGCCATGTGGACACTCGACTATTGTCATCGGGGTTTCGGGCTAGTCATGGTCGAAGGAATGGCATTGGTGGCGAGTTCGATGTTGTAGTTCAATTAGAGTTGCAAGCAGTTTCACGGTGTTTACCGCCAGTAAAGTTTCGCTACCACCACCACGGCATGGACCAAGAAGACCAAGACGTCGACGACGACCACTACGACAACTCCCACGACCTCGATGACGAACCGACGACGACGACGACCACGATCACGACCACCGCGACCACGACCACCACGACGACCACGACGGCGCCGACGACTAACACTAATACTGGCACGAGTGCTAGTACTATCACTACTGCTGCTGCTAATTGCTACTGTTACCTGCCCTACCGTATTGTCTGTTTTTGTGGGCATTTTGGCTTGAAATAAAGTCCAAGTCGAGTTTGAAAGCTCTTAAGCCCTGACCCTCTCTCTGATCCAGAAACACCGGCTTGTATTGTGTATGACTGTGTGTGGCGGCATGGAGGAAGGCAGCTGGCGTGCGCATGGCCGACCTGCTCATTGCTACGGACCGAGATGCTGAGACTGTTTTGACAGAAACCGTTGTTTCGAAGAACTTTATGATTTAGCGAGCATTGCAAGCGGCTGCTTGTCCCCGGCTCCACTTGTAGAATTGTAGAGCCTTTTGTCAAAAAAATGGGTGCCTCAAGCATGAGACACACGCAGACGTTCGTCTTGGCTCTTCTCGTTTGCCGGTTGTGCAAGCTCCATATCATATCCCCCACAAGTGCCAACCATCAGTGTGTGCGCCCAATATCTAAACCCCCTGAGTTGTCGGAGGAGTATTTCCTGACTTTCGCTTCCTGCAACTTGGAGACAGCAACGAGCGACGGCCGCAGCGCCCATGCGATGCGTCCGCTCGGTAGAGCCAAGGTGTCTCGGCATTGGATTGGATGTCCATGGATTTCGACTGAACGAAAGTTTTTGTTGAAGAACAGCCGGGGACGGTGGCCGAGCAGCTGAGTTTTGAATTTAATGTTGCAAAGTTAGATAATTCACCACAGCGGCAGGTTTACCTCCTCGACGAGAGCTTCGCCCCCATCGAGGCCAATATTTCCAAGCTTTAGTTTCTGAAACGCAGAACCCGGTCGCGCTTGGGCCCGCCCACCAGCGTGATTTGACCGAGTTCTTACGTTGGTAGAGGATCTCCTTTTGCAACCCCATGCAGGCCTCGCCTGTGCATTTTTCATCCATACAGCCGTCACCAACAGCAAGAGTATCGGCAACATCACACGCCTTTCGGAGGCCTCCCAAGGAGAGGTGTCGGGCTTGCTGGGTGTGGCCGGACCGCAGGCGGGGAAGGGGCGATGCTGTGGCCCTAGAACCCGTCACGTCTGTAAGCAGGGGACAATTGCAGTTTCTGGCGGATAGTGCAGTGGGTGGTCTAATAATGGCAGCCTCAAGTGTTCCTTTTGGGCGGCTGTTTTATGATTCAGGGGCTCATGTGTTTGATGTTTGCATTTTCTCGCCTTAACTGAACACGGTGCTTGAATGCACTCTCGTGTTCCGAACTCAGCAGAGCTGTTCAGCTCGCCTCTTTGATGTCGCGGGTATAGGCCTATGCAGCTGCAGTAGTTGGATATCCAATCGATACTTCCTCTTCTGCCGAGGCAATCAAGTCACACCAACGGGAGGCAACAGCCCGTACTGGCATCTGCCGTTCAGGTCACGCCCGGTTACGTCGAGCGCTGGCAGCTTAGATCACCTCTGCACGTACGTCATGCAGTTGTGAGGTATAAGACAGTCGCTGCGAGCTCGCTGCAAATCCTCGAAGAGACATCTTGGCCTTCCGGCCAGTACATGTAAAGCTGGCATGCCCAAAGCTCTCAAAGCAGGTTCATTTTCTGTGAGGAGTCTTTTGGAACCACCTTCAGTCTCTCATGATGTGGATTGATCACAGGAGCTTCTGCTTGCTGTCTTTGCTGGCTGTCTTTGCTGCCCCGCCCTGCTAACAGCTAGAGGCCTCGATGACGGATCTGTGACGATTGGTTCGGGACCCCTCAGCCAAGACATGTTCAAGGCTCGGCGACGGAGTCTCTCATTCCCTTTCCAGGGCCTATGTCTGCAAGAAGCAGTTGCTGGCAGGTGATTGATGGTGACTGGGCTGCTGGGTGCACTTAGTACCAGTCTGGGTGCCTGCATCGTTCATGCTTGGTTGTCCTTTTGCTGTCTCGCTGTAGCGCTCAGGTCGCAGTGCCGAAAGACATCATGAAGAAGCAAGGTGATCGTTACATCAGCGTGGGCCGAGGCGAGGGCTGTGGGACAGCCTGGGCCCTAAGTTCTGTAGAGCATGTCTCCTCAGTTCCTTGAGGTGGTGGCACCGTGAAGGTGAAGGGTGGAGTGCTCATGGCCACCAATGTTGCCGAGGCACGTTGCCTGTCTTTCTCTTTCATATGAGAGAGCCGCTTTTCTGGAGGAAGGAGATGCTCTTTATGGACACTTGGAGCCATCAAGCTTTCGCTCTTGGCTCAAGGCTCATTTCGACTCCCGTGCCGTAGCCTTGCACCGAGCCATGTTTGCAACCGACCTCTCCGTTACTGAAGATATCCATGTCCTGCTGCTTCAAAGCTCCCATGAGCTGACTGCCACCGTATACAAAGAGCTGGCCTCGCCCATCCACCCAAGCCAGGTCTTCCAACGATTTACTGAAGTTGCTGCCGTGACCGCAGCCGTGACTGTTGCTTTGCTGCTCCTCTACGATTTGCTTTGTGGCCTCCGGGTGAAGTACCCCAAGCGAAGCCAACGAAAGCTGTCCGACACAGAGCTGGCCCTGCTGACGGGCGCTTTCGCAATGGAGTGGTTTCTAACCGACCAGTTCCTGCCAAGCATTCCAGACATGGCGGCGGAGTTCCAGGTGCAAGAAGCCAGCATCGGACTCACACTGCAGATGCACCAAGCTGCTAGTGGCGTTTCAACCTTGCTCGCGGCGCCCTTGTCCGACCGAATCGGGCGAAGACCGGTGCTCCTTGCAGGGGTGGCTCTCCTGGTCGTGAGCACTCTCTGTGCCGGCTGCGCGGTCAGCTACCCGTGGTTTGTGTTGGGCCGCATTCTGCAAGGTGTCTCACAGGCCACTGCCACCACTTCACTCGCGCTGCTCCGCGACTGCTATGAGGACGAGACTGAACGCATGGCGAAACTATCCGTCTTCGCCGTGGTGGGGCTTTTCGGTCCCACACTGGCACCCAGCCTCGGAGCACTCCTGGCCTCCTGGATGGGCTGGAGGTTCTCCTTCCTGGCAACCGTTCCTCCGCTCGTTGCCATCCTGGCTGGGCTCGTCTTGCGGCTGGAGGAGACGGTGCCGGAGAACGCTGGCGAATCGATCTTCACAGCTGCAAAGCGGACTCTGTGCCACCTGCGCCGCTTCCTGATGATGGCTACACAAACGGTTCTGGTTGCCATGATCACGGTCATTGGTGCCAGACATGCTGTGAATCTGGAGGAAGAGTATGGCGTGCCCCTCATGCACACGGCGTTGGTGATCTCGTGCTTTTCAATGCCCTCGATATTTATGGCGATTTTGGTGAACTGGCTGGAATGGACGCCACGCCGTGTGTACTTCACCATGGCTCCGCTTCTGCTGCTCACCGCCATCGTGAAGATCCTGGTGGGCGTGTTCTTTGCACGGAGCGTATTCTGCTACATCGGTGCCTACCTGTTTTTCTCTTTGTGGCCCATAACTGTTGCCATTGCCATCAGCACCGAGTTTCCCCAGGAGATGCCGGACATCGCAGGGGCGGCGAGCGCTTTCTTCAACGCTGGGCCCCTCATCATGTCTTCGCTGATCTCGCTGCCCGGCCTGGCCATGGCCAAGAACCACGGAGCCTCCGGCCTAATGATAGGTGGCGCTGTCTACATGCTACTGCTGGCGCTGGGGACGATTCTGCTCGGCTGTACGCTGACCGGAGAGGAGGCTGAACCTGCGGAGGTGAAGGACGACTCGATGTTGTGCAATGGGGTGCTGAAAAGCGAAGAGCCGGTACCCAATGAGGTGCTGAAGAATATCCCCACACAGTAGTTTTGATTCAGGCCAGCTTGTCATGTCATGTATTGATGTCGACTGCATGGCTGCCTGACTGCCTGAGCAGCCCAAGCAAAGTCCTGCATGCCAGAGTAGAAATCTCGTGGACTTTGTTGCGAAGCCTTGCCTGTTTGTGCGAGTGTGAGAGTCGAAATCTCGAAGCTTCTTACCTCGTGCAATGACGAGGTAAAGCTCGAAAACGGCGGTGCAGTGGCCAGCGCGTGCATCACAGACCCGTTGCACGTCGAGGGCGGGAGCACTGTGGTCCTGGCCCCTTGTCGTTTGTACCCCAAGCTGTTGTAACATTCATTGTAGCAGTTGCAAGCAGTCACGTTTAAAGTTCAAGCGTGCATTGACATAGATCGCCACCGGCGGACCCAACATAGCGAGATATAGTAAGCCTTATAGGCAATTACCCAGTGATACTCCGTCGCTCCGAGATCACACACAATCCTCAGGCTACAGGCACGAGTTGCAGCAGATTCTTGTGATAGTGGTAATCCCTTCCCCCTTTCATTAAACGCCCACCCCCTAATAATGCAAACACCTTGGACCCAATCCTCCCGAAGTCATCCCTGCCCTTTAAGACCTATTCTGAGTTAGGGGGGGTCTCGAGGCTCCACATGCTCTTAGAGCACATTAAGAGCAGGAGCAGGAGCAAGAGCAAAAGCGGGAGCATCAGCAAGAGCAGCAGCAAGAGCAAAGCAAAAGCAAGAGCGGGAGTAAGAGCAAGAGCAGGAGCAAAAGCGGGAGCAAAAGCAAGAGCAGGAGCAGGGGCAATAGACGCAGCAGAAGCAGGAGCAAAAGCCAGCGCAGGAGCAAGAGCCAGAGCAGGAGCAAGACATGCACGCATGCCAAATGCCTTCACAAAGGCTTACACGCATGCATGCATACCTACATACTTACATACTCACACACGCGCGCACACACACACACACATGTTGTCCTGACCTGAATCCTGAAAGGAGCTTCGGGAGCGAGATGCTTGGACCCTCCGCGACAGCTTGCAGCAGGCTCGGGATGTGAGCCGGAATCTTGGAAGCCTTCGCCAGCTATGGGTCACGTCATAAACACTGTAGATAGATAAAATAGGAAACTTGGACTTCAAGCAGGTTGGAGCCTAGTCTTTCCAAGTTCTATTGAAGTCGCTGAAGAGAAGTCCCTGCGAAGCGAAGGACCAGGGCGTTGAAAGTACTCCAAACTCCCGCAAAGGCACGTTGATTCGCAATGCTCAGCACGCCAGACATGCAATTGCCGTCATGTATGTGACCGCAGTAATTTGCTTTCTGGCAAGCGATACCAGCCGCAGGCGAGCTTTCTGCGGCTGCCAGTGCTCTTCACGCGGTTGCTCGGCTGCAGATTCAAGGTCCCAGCAGTCCGGCAGGGAAGACTAGTGACTAGGCAGTCAGTTTAAACACGCAATGAGAGCAACTCCAGCCTCATTTGTACCGACAGTTGAGGCATGAGCAAGAGGTCCTGGTTGAGATGTAGAGCAAGATTCAGGATGCAAATCCAAGTCTGGACATACAGTATACGTTGATGATAAGCACCTCTCGGCTCCTCATGTTGAACATTGACCTTGAGTTGGCAGCGGTGTGAAATCTTGACGCCAAATAGCTCTCGCATGCCGGACTGCACACTGTCTCCGCTCCCTGCTTAGAAACCTTTCGACTCTTGGCACTTTGAGGAAGATGCTGCGGAATGCCAGTACTGGTACCTTTGCCTGCAAGGGGGTGATGTCAACTAGGGCAGAAGGTCGCCCAACATTCAAGTCCAAGGCATGAGCCTGCGTGTGCCAGTTGAAACAAGCCCCAAGCTCCTGATTTCTCGCTCTCGGACTCATTGGCATAGAGGCTTGCAGCTTGACGTGTGGGCCATGCTCTGGCCTGTTGCAGCACGGGCTTCGGTAGTTCTTTTGGGGTGGCGCGGCGGCGTGGCGGGTCTTGGAAGCTCGAGCAGAGATCAGGCGGCTCTTGCTTTCGCATGTAGGATACAAGAGCTCGGTGTCGGAAGCCGTGACCTCGTGCCAAGGGAAGGTCCAGCGGAGCCTTCTTCAGGACTTCGTGCAGTTAGTGTGTTAGTCTGAACGAAGTTGAGGCAGTTCGACGATGGCAGAGTGTAGTTTGGGGATTCAGAGCTGGAGGCCTTGAGGCAAACAGTTGAGAGTACTTTGGTCAGGGTTCGGCTAGGTAGTTCTCTCAATGCTCTTTGGTTTGCGATGTTCGCGCCATGTCAGGGTTTCGGGAACAGGGGTGTAAGTTTACTCTGATCCTTCAGACACCAGGAGGAGAGGAAGGCAGAGTTGGAGCTGGAGTTGCAAGCTCAAGCGGCGATTCACACGGCGCAGGGATCGCAGGCCGAATTTATTTGCGTTTAGCAAATTTACGCACCTGTCAAAATATTATCAATATCAAGCGACACCCATACGAACAAGTATGCACACATACATGCACAGGCATAAACAGGTATGTGATGGCATGTGTGAGTGTGTTCGTGCATAATCTATGTGGCTGCGTTTCAGTATTTTTTATCTGTCTATCTATCTATCTATCTATCTATCTATCTTGCTATCTATCTGTCTATCTATCGGAGCTATCTATCTATCTATCTATCTGTTTAACTATTTATCTGTTTACTATCTATCGATCTATATATATATATATATATCGATCAATCAATCTATTTATCTATCGGTCAATCTACCTGTCTATCAATATCTATCTATCTATCTATCTATCTATCTCTCTATCTCTCTATCTCTCTATCTCTCTATCTCTCTATCTCTCTATCTCTCTCTGTATCTCTCTCTGTATCTCTCTCTCTATCTCTCTCTCTATCTCTATCTCTATATACATATAGACCTAGGCCCTGGAACTGTAAGGATTTAAGCCCGACAGAAACACATTCCCAAATCCCCAACCCTGGTGGCCGGGGCCTTCAGAAAAGGCTTGACAATCGCCTCGACCGCTCGGTAGCGCGACCTGCCTGCGGCGTTCGGGAGTTCATTGCAAACAGGGTTGTGCATAATTTGGTGGGATACACTTTAGATATGTACCATGACATAGTACATACATAGTACACAAGAACTTCAGAAGGATGTCTTAGTGCCCCTATATTGATCTGCCTGGAATATGACAGCATGTTGTGGATTTCTTATATATGGACCAGTGCGGATGGCTTACGCCTTGTTAATGGCCCAAGTTGCGCACAGATCGAGAGCAATGTCTGAAGCCTTGACTCATTCTTGGACCCTAAACCCTAAAGCCTAAACCCTAAACCTTAATGTAGAGGCCTTAACGACAGAAGAAGAGATCCCCAAAATGGTATTGGTACTTTTTTTTTGGCCCCTATATTACTACTAACTACACAACCCCCGCAACATGAACACACCTGTAAGATGCGCAGCAAAAGCCCGAAGCCACAAACAAATGCTAAACGGGTTGAAAGAACCCTTAAACCCTGAACCCTAGGCCCTAGGGTTTAGGGGTTTAGGGAAAGGTGCCTTCTCCGAGCTCCAGAAGCCCAATGTCTTGCTTCATGGGCAGGCGGGCTGGCACGCGTGGCCTCGGGTTCGAGCTCCGGAGCTTTTGGGCTTCTTAGAACCTTTCAAAACCCTAGGGACGTTGTAGGATGTGCAAGGCTGGCGGGCTGAATTGAGTGGTCCCTAAACCCTAAACCCTAAACCCTAAACCCTAAACCCTAAACCCAGGTGCCTAGGGGTTTTTGACTTCCTGGGTCTCCAGACTCCAACAAATCTCCTGGGGGCCCAGTGCTGCGCAGTATGCAAAACCCGGGGAAACCCTAAACCCTAAACCCTAAAACTCGAATGCATTGCTGCTGTCGTTGTTGCCACGAAAGCTGCTATAGCTCTCCTCCCACCTCTCCTCTCCGGCTCTCTCGCTCTCTCTCTCTCTCTCTCTCGCTCGCTCGCTCTTGTACATACACTTCCTTATGTTCGTTCATAACCATAGAACACTCAAACCCCAACACCCTGCATTACCCTGAGTCGGAGGCAGGTCTCCCAGAAATCTGCGACCCGAAGCCCACAACCCAAAACACTGCTAGACGACTAGGGATTAGGGTTTAGGGTTTATAGGGTTTAGGGTTTAGGGTTTAGGGGGGGATTTGGGTGTCAAGAACTAGACCAGGGTTTCGGGGAGGCACATTCTGGTCACTGCTCTGCCTAGATGGCACGATAACCGAGCATACTATTTCTGATTCGGAAGGCGGGGGACAATAGCACATAGAGTTATATGGGGACCGGGACCGTTAAAGGTAAACTATCTATCATCAAAAACTGTTACTAAATACTCAGACGTTGAATGTCCCAAAACCCCCCCTCAACCTGGCAATCACGAGCCATGTGAGGCTTCGAGGCCCACTTTGAGGTTCAGGGTTCAAGGGGCTAACCGTGGCAGGCCCCAACAGCCATGGGCTTCTTCATGTTTCTCAAAGCCAAGCGGAACTCTTGAAAGAGACCCTGAATGGAAGCCTTACCCCCGAAATCCTGAATAGAAGAACCCATACTTGGAGGTTCATGGGTAGTTAGAAGTGGAGTTATAAGTCCCCTAATATAGGTTATAATTATAGTTACCCTACTTATAACCCTACTTATAACTACCCATGAACCTCCAAGTAAAGGGTCCCCTAAGCCGCGCCTTCCCGATCTTTGTCCCGCCCTGCCACCCCAGGGTTGTCCTTCTGGCAGGCGCCGTCTCGGGGTTGCACAGGGCTTAAAATGCCCTCAGCGATGCACCCTATCTGTAGCCCCAAAAAAGGTGCCTTTGGGGCTCCTTATGATGGCTTCTATCTATATATATATATATATATATATATTTCTTTAAAAGGGCCGGTTTCTTATTCCCTAAAAACGAACCCCGAGGGTTTGTAGGAAGTTTCGGGGTTTTGAAGGGCTTCGTGTCCATAGGGTTTGGGCTTCAGGGTCTTGGGGATGCTCGGGCGCTTCCTAGAAACTCCAAAAAACCCGCACTCTTGCAACATCCGATATCACTTACATTGGTTAAGGTTTTAGGGTCGAGACTTCTCAAACATGTGCGTCAGGTAATGTGGCGGCTCAAATAGTGGACC